CAATACAGATACTATTCTACCATTAGCTGCAATACAGATACTATTCCACCATTACCCTGCAATACAGATACTATTCTACCATTACCATGCAATACAGATACTATTCTACCATTACCATGCAATACAGATACTATTCTACCATTACCCTGCAATACAAATACTATTCTACCATTACCATGCAATACAGATACTATTCTAGCATTACCCTGCAATACAGATACTATTCTAGCATTACCCTGCAATACAGATACTATTCTACTATTACCCTGTAATATAGATACTATTCTACCATTACACTACAATACAGATAGTATTCTACCATTACCCTGCAATACAGATACTATTCTATCATTACCCTGCAATACAGATACTTTTCTACCATTACCCTGCAATACAGATACTATTCTACCATTACCCTGCAATACAGATATTATTCTACTATTACCCTGTAATATAGATACTATTCTACCATTATCCTGCAATACAAATACTATTCTACCATTACCCTACAATACAGATACTATTCTACTATTACCCTGCAATACAGATACTATTCCACCATTACCCTGCAATACAAATACTATTCTACCATTACCATGCAATACAGATACTATTCTATTACCCTGCAATACAAATACTATTCTACTATTACCCTACAATACAGATACTATTCTACCATTACCCTGTAATACAGATACTATTCTACCATTACCCTGCAATACAGATACTATTCTACCATTACCCTGCAATACAGATACTATTCTACCATTACCATGCAATACAGATACTATTCTACCATTACCCTACAATACAGATAGTATTCTACCATTACCCTGCAATACAGATACTATTCCACCATTACCCTGCAATACAGATACTATTCTACCATTACCATGCAATACAGATACTATTCTACCATTACCCTGCAATACAGATATTATTCTATCATTACCCTGCAATACAGATACTTTTCTACCATTACCCTGCAATACAGATAGTATTCTACCATTACCCTGCAATACAGATATTATTCTACTATTACCCTGCAATACAGATACTATTCTACCATTACCCTACAATACAG